TGTTTAATCGGCTAATATTATCAATTCGGCCGACGCAGTTTTATCTTTATTTTCGAAAATTCCGTCACAATATTTATAGTATTCTTGGCATGAAATAATTCATCTGCCCAAGACTCCCAGCGCATGAGCAGGTGAAATCTTGTTACGTTATGTAATACAAAATTTTGAAAAAAATTTTATCTAATAAATTTATGAAAAAAAAATATCTTATTTACATCTGAAAAAAAGGAAAAACAATATGTATACATTTAGATGATTCCCCAATTTTCACTAGCACTACCAATATAATTGGCGGCATATAGCACGATGATGGATTTCCCGAAAAGTTCACATCGACACCGGAATCCTGCGATGTTCGATGATTAACATTGGAGCTGGATAAATATTTTCATCCTCATAGTTTAAATTCATCTTGTCTGTGTCCATCGTATCCATTGTCCATGAATTTCTTTCGAAACAATAAAGTTCTTCAGATTGTGTAACCTCTGAAGATTTTGTATTTGACAGATATTTACTGAACCCTGTTTGCACAACTGATTAGTTAACTAATGTTGTTCAGTTAGTTTTATTTATTTTCTATTTGTTAGTTTCAGCACCATTCCTGACATGAAATAATTCATCTGCCCAAGACTCCCAGCGCATGAGCAAGCGAAAATCTTATCTTTATGTAATACAAAATTTTGAAAAAAATTTTATCTTATAAATTTAATGAAAAGAAAATAACTTATTTACATTTGAAAAAAAAGATAGAAAAAAATGATATGTATATATATATATATTTATATATTTATATATGTATTTATATATTTAGATGATCCCCCAATTTTCACTAGCACCACCAATATAATCATTATAAGAAGAAAGAATTGGCGGCATATAGCACGATGATGGATTTCCAGAAAAGTTCATATCGACACCGGAATCCTGCGATGTTCGATGATTAACATTGGAAAATATCGGAGCTGGTACATTTACAGGAGTTGAAATTTCAGGACTATAAATATCTTCATCCTCATAGTTTAAAAAGGTGCGAGTTGTAATGTGATTATAAATAGGTGAGAAAAGAAATTCATCTTGTCCGTGTCCATCGTATCCATCGTCCATGAGTTTCTTTCGAAACAATAAAGTTCTTAGAGAGTTATTGGCAGATTGTGTAGCCTCTGAAGATTTTGTATTTGACAGGTATTTACTGAACCCTGTTTGCTGTGGAGCTGGCGAAGCACACGTTTCAGTAGGAGGATGATATTCTATGGTTGGTATCGACAGATATAAATCTGCACATTGAAGTTTGAGAGAAGGTCTCGATTTGTGGTGGGTTTTAGTGGGTGATGTTTCTTCAGAATCTTGGGGTGCTGTGAGGACTATACTAAACGGTGAGCCAGTTTTTACTTGTGTGTTTTTAGAGTTAATAAATTCTTGTGAATGACCAAGTAAAGTTGAGCTCATTTTAGAATGTTACAAATATACAAAAAATGAATGGTACTGAATAAAGTTTTTATATTTTTGTTTCCAATAATTTTTTTCTTTTTGTTTCTTTTTTTTGAAATACTCAAAAGTGAAGCGACCTCAAGGCTTTAAATATTTTTTTAACCACTGCGATTTATGATTAGCATGACTGATTATTTGTTTCACATTTGTGAACTGAATTTTATTGAAGTTCTCAACTTGTTAATGCTATTTTTATTTGCGTGCATACATGTTTTTTCATGCATGTACGTACGTACGTACGTCGTTACGTGGCAAGTTACGCGAGCTTTTTAAAAAGGTATTGTACGATTCTTAAAAAAGGTATTGTAAAACATTAAAAGACAAAGCACCTATCAAATTTTGTGACGATTTTTCGTCTTAACCTAATTCTAACCCAAACTATATAATAAATTATACGTAACTCCAGATACTCCTGATGTACTCATCAGCCGTACGTATCATAAGTCATATCTAAGTAAATTAAAAGATTACTTCGTGACAGCTACTTGAGGTGAGTATTTTAGAGATAGACAATGGCAGAGTATTTACGGACACCAACTACCCCAGTATCGTTATCAATAAATGGAAAATCCTTTTTCAAAAATCATTTTATCTTTTGACAATCTTTATACGTAATAAACTATTTGTTTTAATAAGTAGAAAGATTTCTTAAGCAATTTTATTATATATTTGGCTAATTATCCGGAGTGTAGCGAAGGATATTAGGTGGAATAATAGACCAGATTTGGTGTATGTTTATGTCCTCCGCACTTATTTTTAGATAGATAATCATCAATTTATATATCACTATATATATCAACCAATATATTTATTTATATTTTTAACTATGCTCCGGATATTTAACAATGCTAGTATGTGACTGTAGGTCCCCTTGAGGACCTCTGTATTAAAAGATTCTAATAAAATTTCACGCCAAGAGAAACAGACACCTTAACATCTAAAATAAATAAATAAATAAATATACTATACAGTATTGTAATAAAAAATTTGATATTAATTATAGTTTCTTTAAAGTAATAAAATTGAATAAATTGGCTTCACCTTCAAGATTTAAACAAAGAAAAAAAAAACATTGAATTAAATTTAATAAAAAATTTTTGGTTATTATAAAAAGTAAGTAATTTAGTACAATACTTAAATTTTTTGTGCTTATATTTTTATTAATAATATTTAAAATAATAACTATATAAAGTTGCTAATTTTTATATATATCAAAGTAAAAAAATAATAAAATTATATACAGAAATAAAACTTAGACTAATTTATTTGTGATCTAATTTACTAAAGCATTTAAAAATTTAAATAGTAAAATATAATTTAAAGTTATACTGTATTATATTTTATTTAAAAACAAATTAGATTTTAATTTTTTTAGTAGCTTGGTCTATTAATAAGCAAGAGTTTGTATCTGTATATGAGGGGAGTCAATAGAAAAAACAATTTTTTTTTAAGTAAAAATTTTTTTAACTTTAAACTTAAATATTTCAACAACTATTTAATCAAATTTAATAATTTTTTTTATTTTAATTCTATATAATTTTAAGATTAAAATAAAAAAATTTTTATCAAATTTAATTAAATAGTTGTTAAGATATTTTAATTTAAAAATTAAAAAATTTTACTAAAAATGATTTGTTTCTTTTCTATTAATTTTTTTTTTTTAACGTATTGGCAGTCTTGTCGATATCTTTATTAGATCAAAGCAGAATACTTATATCCAGAGTTGGTCAAATCACTGGTCAACCAAAAATTCACTGGTCA